ATCTGACATGAAACCATTAAATTCTTATTAATTTTTCTTATTAGTTGATATAACACTTTCTAAACTTGATATATGTAGCACCAATAATTTAGGACCAGACGTTTTAACCATCAAGTCTAATTCCTTATGAAATAAAAATAATTGATTTAAAAGTTTCAAATTTATTTAATACTAAATAATTAGATTAATTTTTTTAGGCTACTAGGAGTGGGCAATGCCCACTCCCGTTATTGCACTTAATAACGCCTAAGAACACCGCCCCCCCTCCCCCTCCCCCCCTTCATTGTTATTAGGCGTTATACGTCTGCGCGTTGTTTCCCGTTACCACCACCAACTTCCATTAACGCCATTTTTCTTCTTTTTATCAAAAACGCCCGTGTGGGCGTTGCCCACACCTACCAACCTTATCTAAGGTGAAAGGTGAAGTCAAAAGTGTAGAGATTGCTAGTTGACTTTTCAATGTTAAGAGTTACAGTGTTAAACAATGACACTTGACTAAATTTATATACCGAAAATAAGGACTTAAATTGTAAGAATTTTAGAATTTAGGGTTATGATGAATGTTGAAGGACTTGGAATCTTATATAGAAGGTCATTTTAAGGTTAAATAAAAAATTAGAATGTTGATGTCTAATCTTGAAAATCATGGAAGTTAAGGTATGATTTTTGACATAATTTATTTAACTTGGTTGAACTGTTCAAATATTAACATTTTAGGGTTAAAAAAGAGTTAATACATTAGAAGTGATAATTTGAAACAAACAAAAATAAGAAAGTATAGGGTTAGTTTTGCCAAATGACCAAAGTTTAGGCTAAAGCCCCAAAGTTCTTTCATTCTTCTCATTCAAACAATAGGAGCCTAGAGAGGGAAGAAGGAGAATCTCATTTTAAGAGAGATATGGGTTATTAAGGACCACTTTGAGAGATAAAAAATACATGTTGTTACCTCTTCCACTATATAGGTTCTCACCGAAGCCTTATCATGATCCCCCTACTAGACTCATTTTCGTTAGATCTGTTCCCACCAAGAATTGATCAATTTGCTATATTGTATTTAATAGTCGGAGCTTGATCCACGGAAACATTATCTACCAGATACAATTTTGCAATACTTGAGACTTCTTGAACCTTTTGCAAGTGTTTTACATCACTAATCATCGACTATTTCTATAGCATACTTCAATATAAGATGTTGAAAAGACACATTAATATTAGGGTCATCTTCCCAACCTGTCTTCAATTTTACCAAATTTAATAAATGCAAATTTTATATCTGGCGGAAATTATACATTGTAGTTTTCAACAAAAGGCCTAATGTGTATGCATTTACCATTTTCAAAGTGCGGAGAATCACAGATACAAGGTAGGGGTATTAATATGTTTAAATCCAATGGATTTTGATGAAATTGATCCAATCTAATTCGCTATATTCAATCAAACCGAACCAATTGAATTGGATATTGAAGTGGATCAGATTTATCCATTGGATATATTTGATTGGTTATCCATTATCCAACTAATTCTAATACATTTTCTATCTAATAACAACCAAATATAATTACGATAATTAAAAGTAAAACCACATACACTTATGCTAAATAAGACTAACAAATGACACTTCAAGTCTTCAACTTCAACGATCAAGTTCAAACATGGAAAATCATAGAGAATTTGTTGTATTTTAATTTTCTCTAATATTAACTGGATAATAATATTGGTTGGTAATTGGATATTTATTGAATAAATATTGGATATCAAATTAGATGAACATTAGATAAGTTCGGTTCGATTATCCATTGAATTTTTAAGGTAATTTTAATAACCAATACGATCAAATTAGATTTTGAAAATTCAAAACTGGTCCAATCTAATTATAATTGGATATCCAGCCTAGTCGGTTGGTTCAAACTTGATCAGTTAAGTTTTGCACACCCCTGATACAAGCAACAACAAAATACTTATCTAGAAAATTTGAAGTCATGTTTTTTTTTCCTTAGAGAACTAATAAGTTTGTGTTGAACATCTTATTTTTTTTAAAGTACGTCTTAGGGGTGTAACAAGCCTAGTTGAGTCGAGTATTGTCAAACTCGAAGCTCGACTCGAGCCTAAATTTTAAACTCGGGCTCGAGCTCGATAAAGTAATCGACACTCTCGAGCTCAGCTCGACTTGACTCGACTATTTATTAAACATATATAACTACATTAAATTGAAATGGAAATACGATTAAGTTCATGAGCTCAACTAAACTCAACTCGATTATGTAAAATAAGAATAAAATAAAAGGTAAAAGTATAAATATAGCTAAATTCGATTAAACTCACGACTTGGGTATTTCAAGACTCAAGCTCGACTCGATGATATACTTGAATAGCCCGAGTGTTCGATTCGACTTGAACCGAGTCGATTTCGAGTATTTTGCGAGCCGGTTTTGAGTATCTCACGGGCTAGTTCGACTCAGTTACACCCCTAGTACATCTTACAAAATAACAATTACTTTTACTCTTAAATTCACTGTACGTATGTTATATTTCGTAGTATGGGTGTCGAATTTCGCAATATGGATGCCAAATTTTGCAGTATAGATGTTAGATTTCACAGTATGCATGACAAAATATAGATTTTTCGTAAGTGACATTTGCGAATTTGTAGATTTCATCTGCAAAATCGCACATGTCATCAGCAAAATCGTAGATGGCATCTAAAAATCCACTACACATATGTCATTTGAGAAATATGTATTCTCAAATGATTTTGCACATGAACATTAGAGGAATTCATAGATGTCATTTTAGAAAATTTCCCCTTGAAGTGTTTTTCGATTCTTTTAATATATATATATATATATATATATATATATATATATATATATATATATATATATGACAAAATTACAAAAATGGTCCATGTGGTTTGCCAAAAGTCACAAAGTTAGTCCCTGCTCATTTTTTTGATGCAAATGGTCCTTGTTGTTTGCAAAACTTGCAAAGTTGGCCCTTTTTACTAACATTGTTAGTAAAACGCCGTTAGGGACCGAATCTATAAGGGTATTTTCGTCTTTTTAAGTATAAAATGACTGAATTCGTGACATTTGATAAACCACATGGACCATTTTTGAAATTTCTTTGAAAAATATAATTAAATTGTTAGGGGGAGGGATCAAACTAATGACCTCAACCCTTCTATTTTACCCAACCACTTAACCACTTGAGCTAAAGGCTCGCTTGGTTTTTAGCTTCTAAAACTCATTTATATAATAATAAATCCGTAAAACATAAACAATAAATAAATTAAAAAAATACATTTTTTTTACATAATTTTTTTTAATAAAACAAAATGTATTTTAACGTATTATAAAAAAATCCGTTTAGAAAAAGTATTTATTTTTCTGTATTTATTTTACATAAAAGGATTCTTTTAATAAAACATTTTTTTACATATTTATTTTTATGTATTTATTTACATAAAATGTTTTTTTATGTCTTTAAAAAATACGTTTTCGTATAAAATGTTATTACGTTTTAATGAAAGGCAAAATCGGGCGAATTGGTTTTTTTTGGCCCAATCGGTTTTCTAAAAAACCGTTTTTCGGTTAAAAAAAACTTAACAACAATTTTGTTATATGTATTTAAACAATTAATATTTTTTTATGTCATAGTGTTAATTATTGTTATTTAAAAATATATATATATTTATTTCTTTTCATCGTCATTTTAACCATACGATTTAGACCTAGCGGTTAAGTTGAAATACGTATCTTAAATAAGACATATAACCGAATAGGTTTTATAAGTGTTTTTAAATACATATAACCGAAAAACGATTTTTAGAAATACATAAAACAACATATTTTACGTAAAATAAATACATAAAAATACGTTTTATTTATTGTTTATGTTTTATCGATTTTATTACTGTATATATGAGTTTTAGAAAAAAAAATACGTTTTGTTTTATTTAAAATGCTTTTTTTAATTTACTTATTTTTTTTTATAATACGGAAAACTCGTTTTATTTTATTTAAAAAAATTATGTAAAAAAATGCTTTTCGTTTTAAAACAACATATTTGACGTAAAATGTTTTTTTTAAATTTATTTATTGTTTATGTTTTATCGATTTATTATTATATAAATGAGTTTTAGAAGGTAAAAACCAAGTGAACCTTTAGCTCAAGTGGTTAAGTGGTTGGGTAAAATAGAATGGTGGAGGTCTCGAGTTCGATCCCTCCCCCTAGCAATTTAATTATATTTTTCAAAGAAATTTCAAAAATGGTCCCTGTGGTTTATCAAATGTCACGAATTCAGTCCCTTTATACTTGAAAATACGAAAATACCCTTACAGATTCAGTCCCTAACGGCGTTTTACTAACGATGTTAGTAAAAAGGGCCAACTTTGCAAGTTTTGCAAACCACAAGGACCATTTGCATAAAAAAATTAGCAGGGACTGACTTTGCGACTTTTGGCAAACCATAGGGACCATTTTTGTAATTTTGTCTATATATATATATATATATATATATATATATATATATATATATATATATATATATATATATATATATATATAGAGAGAGAGAGAGAGAGAGAAAGAGAGAGATAGGTTCAAATGTTTTTAGCAACTATTGTGTACCTAAATGCACCAATGAGAATTGAGGAAATAATAAATCATTAAATAAATTAAAAAAGGGTATAATGGTAATTAGTATATCTAATTATGGTAAAAAAGAATTCATTTAATCTCTCCTTAATTAGTTTAACCCTACAAAACCAACATCCTTAACCCCAAAACCCCCATTCCTACTTTAGACCGAGAGAAATAAGGAAGACAGTCGACTGCCATCGTTGAGCCACCACCTTTCACGACCTCCGCCTATTCCGTCGACTGAACCACCCAAACCCACCCTCTTCTTCTTTCTTCTTCTGCTAATCGGAGTTGCTAAAACCACCCAAATCGATTGTGGCTTATTTACCTTTCTTCTACTGGTTCCATCCTGTTGGTCAATGATCCTCTGCTGCCGATTTGCTGTTGATGCTTCCCACATAAAAGGTGTAAAATCGATTAATGGGAAAGAGAAACCGAGAGAAATAATTCTGGGAAGAAATGTGCACACTACTTGCCTCGAGGTAACAGAGCTTGATGCCGATGATGAGGTTACCGGAGAAAGAGAATCTTATATGGCCAGCGTGTTGGCCAGATATAGAAAATCCTTGCTCGAAAGGACAAAACATCATTTGGGTAACAATCTTTTTGCCTATTTTTTAATTTAATTTTATGTTTATGATCTTGTTCTGTATTCAAAACCCCAATTTGGCTACACAATTGATGTCAAATTTGCTCCTGAAAGTTGTAATTTTTTAATAGGGTATCCTTATAATCTGGACTTCAATTATGGTGCGTGGTCTCAGTTGCAACATTTCTCCATTAACAACCTTGGGGACCCATTCATCGAGAGCAATTATGGTGTCCATTCCAGGCAGTTTGAGTTGGTGTATTAGACTATTTTGCTCGTTTTATGGGAGTTGGAAAAGAACGAATACTGGGGTTACATTACAAATTGTGGAACAGAGGGCAATCTTCATGGCATACTAGTCTGGTAATTTATATGAATTTAGGCTTTTAGCTCATTTCTTGGATTTTTAAAACTTGAATACTTTATATATTGTGTAAATGTAACAGGAGTGAAGTGTCTCCAAAGTTAAAGGTAACAAACACAATCACTCTACATCTATTTTCTTTAGATTTGGTTGTTTTCATTGTATATGTATACTATTGCACTCTAGTATTCAAGAATCTTAATATTCTATAACATACAACTGAAAGTGTTTGTTCATACAATTTAGGAACCAGGAGGTGTTTGTTGGTTTCAAGAATATATATATTATATATCATATACACATTCTGTTAGAATTTTGCATTGTAATTGTGCTTTTAGTTTAATGATTCTTTAAGAATGTTTTATTTTGCATGGTTTTCAGTGTTATTTGTGAATTTTTTATTAAGGATTAAACCCTATGATATGACACATAATTGTTTTTTTTTCAGTATCTTGATTACAGCTTCAACAAAGAATTATTCTGTTAGAATATTCAACAAAGAATGTATTATTCTGGTAGAATAATATACAATAGAATGCTGAGATTTTGGCCAGCGAGTACAGGTAAATTTAGGGTTTCAAATTTCATTCTTCTCACAACTTAGATCTGTCAAAATATATTCTATGTATTCTCTCACATTCTATGTATTCTACCAGAATATATAAAGTGATAGTTAATTGTAAGTAACATGTTTTAACCATTATTAGTTTTTGTTGTATTTGTGATAGGAATGGCTGGAAGCATGAGTTGAAGACCTAATAATGTTGTTATTTTAATAATGTTGAAGAATGAATAAAGTTTGATCATACTCTAAATTTAATAATGTTGTTATTTTTTAAGAAGTTTATTCTTTTGTGTTGATATTCTTTTAGAATATGTATAATTATATTAAAATGTATAAGACTTTTAGTCTGTAAGAATATGTATGAATTTGTATTTAAGTTCGGATGTATAAGAATATATTAGAATGTTGTTATTTTTCAACCTCGGATTTAAGAATTTTGTTATTCTTCAATAATATTCTAATAGAATAAAATTCTGAAAGAGCATCATTCTAACAAAAAAAATATTCTGACAGAATAAAATCGGTTATATTTACAAATTACGTTAGAATTAAAATTAAATTAATTCAAAAATTCAAAAATTTTAAATTATGAGAATTAATTATCCCTAAAAATCCGAAAATTTCCTTTTATAATTGTAGTTAATTGTCCAAAATACCCTTTTGCTAAAATTTTGGTGATTATATGGTACATGCTATCACATTGTAATATCATACACTTTCAAATCATGTCCATTGATTAATTTCATCCGTTGGTCCAGATCTGTGTATTCTGGCACACAATAGTTAGTAAAAACAAAATAACCTAACCCTATATATATATATATATATATATATATATATATATATATATATATATATATATATTCTATTAAATAAATAGGTTTATTCTCCTATTGACAAGTGTCATTATATTAGAACATTTTAATTAATATTATATGTCACATATCATGCCACTTGTCAACATATTAATTATACATTTCAGATTTCAAATTTTAAATTTCTCATCCTAATTACATTAAACTTTAAAAAATTTCGTTTTTAATTATATTAAATTAATAACATTAGATTAAAAAATAAAATAAAATTAATACAAATTATAAGGTAATATAACTTCACGTACTTATTTAAATCAATGATTATAATTTTATATAACTAAAAAATATCTCTTAAACAATAATTTATTTAAAATAATTGATTAATAATTTTGATTTTTTAATATGAAAGTTTAATTAATTTTATAGTCGTGGTTCTCACGGAATATATATATATATATATATATATATATATATATATATATATATATATATATATATATATATATATATATATATATATATATATATATATATATATACCATATTTTTGCTAATGACTACCAATTTTGCAAATGCCCTCTACAAAATTGATGATTTTTGTACTAATTTGGCAAATTTTTAATTATTTTTTGGAAAATAGTTAATAGGATTAGAATCTACATGTTTAATTTACATACGAGATGTTTTTTAAGTGTTGACACAACTCCAGGGCATCACTTCCATTATTAGGCTCACAACTTTACAAGGGTAGTTGCTACAAAATCAAATCTACTACTCTCGTTCAATCCGTGAGTGAAAAATGATAAAAAAAATTAAATTTTCTATTTCAACATGCATTTTATATTTACCGTCGATATTTCCATGTTTGCCCCTGAACTGTAAGTAAGCACTATGCAACCCTTCAACAATTCATTAGGTGCTAAGAAACTTCTCAAACTCTTTTTTTAGTTTATTAAACAATTTCCAGAACAAGATTGAAAACTATTTCCTATTTTTATTTTAACAGTAGTTTCCGTGATGTGAGTTGGGAGTAATATTCTATTACATGGCCCAATTTTTAACTCAGGGATTATTCCATGGATCGATGTTGTTATGTGATTTACCTCTCATGTGTTAAAGTATATACCTTCAAATTTCCAAAAATAAAAACATAGGCCTTAACATTTAGTTGCATATAGTATAAACCTTCACACCATATCTTCTTGATCAATTGTGATACTTAGTGTCAAAAAAATAAAAATAAATAAATAAATTCAAACGAATTTCGAAACTAACATAAAGTTACATATATTTCATCAAAATTACGAAGAAAAAAAGAAATCTACTCGATATATGAATGTCTTATTTCTATATGAAAACGTCATTATTCCTACCTGGAATGCATTCTCGTGACCCCATAAACACATAGACATAAATTAAAAATGTCTTTTTATTTATATTGTCTTCTCTTCATCCATTAATAGTTATTTCAGACGACTGCTAATATTAGATTTTTTTATGAATATTTTAAGTGGTTTCATTATTAATAATAAAAGCTCTTGTCGATCGAACCATATATCAAGCAAGACATTAGTCTCTTTTTCTAGAAAAAATATATATATACATTTATATAGAAGTTGATAAAAACATATGTAATATAAGTTAGGTGGTGAATATCTTATAATGAGTTATAGAATTGGTAATTGGTTGATAAGAGAAATAGTGAAATAAATATATAGAATTATTGTGGTGGGGGTGCATGCATTGTATTGAGTATTGAATAGGGAATATTGATTAGCCGTATTTGTCAAATCTGGTCCATGATGGCTAATGGGTCCAACTATTGGGCTAATAAGTAGAAGCGATTAAGCAAATGTGTGGTTGCAATTTCTTTTGTATACTTGGATGCAATAAAGCGACCCGTCTTCTCACAAATGGGAGTGTGGACCCAGTTAAGGCTGGCCGAAGCAACACCGCTTTTTGTCGTGGAATTCGGACATTCAGTTACTTAGTCGAATCTTGTCTTCAACTCCATCGCTACACACATTTTAATGTTAAGCGAAATAAAAACTCTTAAAAAGAATTGAAATGTAACTGTAAATGCATTTTAATTGTATGTAACGATAGATTCCAGTATTGTAAATTTAGTTTACCAAATGTTAGGATTAAGACAGAAAAAACAATTTAATGGTTGTGACTTGTGACAAGGTAAGAGAATCTATAAAGAAGAAAAAGCAATACAAACTGATTGTATTTATAGTACATTACACATATTATTCAATTCATAACTATATACTATAAATTTTATTCCACACGGTGCTAAACCCTAGCTCTAGCTCGGTTGGTGCATAATGAGTTGCACCAACGGATCCTAATAAGATAAGAGTATATGTAAGGGCTAGGGGTGTTCGGGATTTGTTTGTTTGGAAAATATTCTACTTTTTTGTGTTATAGCATATGGTACCAAAATAATAATAATAAAAATACTATTTGGATTAGTTACTAATAGAAAAAAAAATTGGATTACTTTATAAGATACGAAGATACCATAAGTTTATAGATTGGTTTTAATGTTTATAAATTTTGTTTATACATGTAAAATGTTAAAAGTTGTCTCCGATCTCTCTTTTTATCTCATTATCACTACTAGGATTTGATAATGATGAGGACGGCGGTGTACACTGTGGTACAACTACGATGCAGGTTTGTGGTGCTCGAGAAGGAGGTATGTGGTGCTCTATTAGAGGTATGTGAATCTATTAGTGATTAAGATTAGACTAATACCTATTGGGGTTTAGCTTAGGCCAAAAGACCATTTTGTATTCTCATTTATATGACGTTAAATCCTCATTATGAGATATCAAAGAATTATTTAAAATAACATGTTATCCGAACTCTAGGTTAAAACTCTATTGTTAACCATAACCCACAGTCGCCGTCCTCCTCTCCGACAACATTCTTTAATAGTCGTCGGAGGTGCCTTCTACCTCCTTCTTTGGCTTCTTCTATTGCCTTATCTGCTTCTGCCTCCTCCTCAGATGACCCTGCATTCGAGCCTTCTGTCTCCTCCTCGTATGGCCCATCTCATCGGTTGACCTCTTTTTCTCCATGTATTTTTTCTGAGTCAGCCACTTCTGATGCTGCTACTTACTCTATCTCTTCCCCCCCCGCCTCTATATGAGGATTTCAAGATTTAGGGGTTTTAGGAAAAAAACCGTTGTCGCAACGCGAGTAGTAGAGTGTGTTCCGCGAGCTAAGTCATAAGTAGTGGCGCGACCAAGGTAATGGTCGCGACGTAAAGATGCAATCAACCTAAACCTTAGATCTTGGGACTTGAGCTCTATTTAACGAATATGATATTTAGGGTTTGCCTCATTGATTAGTCCCACCTCCATAAACCTTCCAACTTTAAAACCCCAACCTCTCTCCTTCCTCCTTATGCCTTGGTGGTGTTTCAGTAACCTTTGGTGAAGAAGCAAGTTGGTTTTGTACTCAAGAAGCTAGATCCAGAGTAGATTCAACCTTCTAGCCTCCTTCTTAACCTTTGTAAATCATCAAGTTCCTGCCTTTCTGTGTTTTGCTTAGCAGATCTTGGATATTGAGCATGTTTTGGTCCTCTTAATGATATTTACGTGGAGTTTGAAAAACTCCAGGCCAAAAGGTTGTTTTTTATGGTTCTCTGGAACCTTCGTGGTGGAAAGAAGTGATTGTCATCAAGCCTTTTGAGCCATGCATGAGGTTTGTAGTATTTAGGTCCAATTTTATACGTAGGATACAGAAGAATGTGTTTGAGGCATTCAAATGGATAAAGTTGGAAAATTTATCCATTAAGTCATTATTTTTAAGTGATCTGGAAGGTTGGAGCCTTAATCTTAATGGATTAAGTGCTTAATAAAAGAAGTAATATGCCTCGAGATCGTGACGCGACCAAATAAGGTTGGTGTCATGCCATGAATATGGATCTGATGTCGCGGTCGTGTTGTCGCCTAGTGGTAGCAACACGACCAAGGTATGGTCGTGACACGTTGACCGTTGACTTTTTGACTTGTTTGACTTTTGGTCAAATTTTGTTGGAATTGAGTATTTGAGTAAGTTTTAGTCTCGGATTGGCTTAGGTGAGTCTTCTCA